GACTCCATCCAAAATGCTTACCATGCTGGGCACAGGCATATACCCTCTTTGACAGTAGGGTATTGGAATGACTCTTATCTTCTGTCTGTTTCCAGGTGTCAGAGAACAGCTTCTGGTCTCCAAAGATGAATGAGCAAAGGTAAAAAGGGCTCTGAATTTTTGTGTGAGTGTGCTGTATTTAATGGGAGGAAAACTGCTGGAAAGTGTGTGAGGAACAATTCCTGGCTTTAGGATTTAACAGTGGATCTGCCATGGTTGGCTCAGGAGCTACATCTGGTGGTTTTCAAAAGCTGGATGTCTAGAATGGAGTATACTTTAAAGAACAGTATTTTTATCTTTAAAATTCTTCCTTCTAAATTCAACTTCGGTTACTATAGTGATGGAAAAAGCATTGGTACTGCACATGACTTTTCAGTGCAGCAAACTGTAGCATGCTCATTCCAGAGTTAGTGCAGATCAAGAACAGGGCTTATTCGTGAGATGGGATTGAAATTTGTCATCTGTGGATTGGAAGAGTGTGAGATGGGTATCTTAATGTGGTGCGAGGCTGCAGGTTTTTCACTCTTTAGAGAGAATGATTTGAAATTCTTCTTTTCAGTTTGATGGCTGAAGTCTGATTGCCATCTCCTGGCTGTGTTTAATTTTTCTGTGTTAACTGGTGCTCACTTGTGTGTTTTTTTTCTCTCAAAGTTTCCAGCATTTACATGACAGACAAATGGTAACTAGGTGTTTCCATGCCTGGAGGGACCACATCATCTGGAAGAGGGCTGCAGCAAGGCAGCAGCAGCAGCCTCAAAAGGCCCTTGGTGTAGCCCAGCAGAGAGGTGCCTCAGCTCTTTTAGCTGCCAGCTTCCACAAGGTGAGGATGGGCCATGGACAATACAAGTGGCACCTATTTGAAATTCAGAGATGTGGACCCTGGTGCTGTTACTCTGCCTGCATTTTGTTCTAACCATGTGGTTCCTTCTTCAGTGGAAGGAAGCTGTGACAAAACAGAGCCAAAAACAAGCTGCACAGTCTGAGTCATATTCGTATACCCAAAGTTCATCAGTGGGTTTTTCTGGAATAGGAAGATTAGCAACTATGACAACCCCAGCTCAGCACCAGCTTACAGAAGGATACATGAAGGAAGCTGAGCAGGCTTGTAGGTAAGCTGAGAGGATTCTCCTACTGGTATCTCAGACATGTGGAGGTTTACAGACTTTTTTATCAGAGGATGTGAAACTTGTGTCCAGGTCTGTGAATGTATTGCTTGCTGCAGATAACTGCTGCAATAATTGGTATCTTAGAGTTTATAATGCACTACTGTTCCAGTCTGATTTGTGTCTGACACAGCTATGCTGTACTCTTTCTTGAGTTCAGCTATCTCCTGCGTATGGAATATGAGTATAAATAGTATTGCTCCACTCCAGTACCACAGTCTAGCAGGACACTAGATGGTCAAAAGAAAAGACCATCATTCAGCCTGTTGATTCTGAGGGCAGGAGAGCAAATCCAGACGAAAAGACAGGGCTACTGAGGGGGAAGGGAGTCTCTGGATTCACTTTGCATCTGTCTGGACAGAAGGGTTTTAAGGCAAACTTGCAATTTTTAGGGTGGAGAGCGAACTGTGGACACAGCTTCATCGCAGGCAGAGAGGAGACGAGTTCTATTGGAGAGCTCAAGCAATAAGAGATGTGAGACGCCTAGCTGGTAAGCACGTGCTCTGTGGAGCAGCTTGAATGGAGCCACTGTTTCCCCATGTTTCTTGGTTAGCGTGTAGTCGTTGCATTGACCTGACCCTTCCAGAAACTGATCCTGCAAATACCTGGGTTATTACCTGTAGTGGTAGAGGGTGGCTTACCTGCCCTGCCATACACTTCTGCCTTGCTTCTTATATAAATTCAGCTGTAGCAGATACTGTTGCTCCAGCAGTGTGATCTGTCTCCATTAAGTGCCTTTTCCAGACAGCTAGAGTTCAGCCTGGGAATGATTGCTGTGTGACACTAAGCTGTTTCAAGTTCTTCTAAGTTGTTTTTCTTCCTGTCAATCTGTTTCTGCCCTGTAACACAGCAGCTTTCAGACTGTGGCGCCTTCAGAAGGAGCTGCTGAGCAATGAGGAAGGCAAGCTGCTGGAAGCATATGCCCTGATGGAAAAGAAAAGGCTACAAAACATTTTCCAGGTGTGGCAGTCCCGATACTTGGAAAAGAAAAAGATTTTAGGGCTGACAATTCAGATCCAAAGAAACTTGGTCTCCCGGTAAGTTGATGAGATGTATTTTTAATGTGGAAAGAAGTTCATTCTGAAAGTCCAAGGAATGATGGTGCCAATCCAGATAATGATGTATTGCTTCATCTTAAAGTCATCTTTTTATTTTATTTTAGGAGTTAATAAAGGTAGAAATATATTTTGGCAAAACAGATTTCATTTTAATGGTAGTGGAAACTTGATTTAAAGGACTCGAAGTCAAAGTCCAGAAAAAGATTTAGTAGTTCAGTATTCTGTTTTCCTTTGGTCTTTCTCAGGTGCTTCAGTGCATGGAAAGAGGCTGTTGAGCTAAAGGCATATCACAAGAGCAGCCTGACACATCTCAGAGTAGAATCAAAGAGGAAATACTTCCAGCAGTGGTTTCAAATGTTGCAGGTCAGAAAAAGCAATAAGCAGGCAATGGTGAAACTCCTCCTTCTGAGATGGAGGCAGCATTATGGTGAGTGTCATGGGGCTTGCAGAACATCTGAGATTTGGAGTTGCTGAAACTTATTCCTTCTCCACTTGTACAGTGAACTGAAGCCTGAAAAACAGCTGAAAACAACCTGATAACAGAGAGGCACAGATAATAAATAGAACCGTAGGATCTTTTGAGTTGGAAGGAACCTTAAGTGTGATCTAGTCCAGCTCCCCCACAGTGAACAAGGACATCTACAGCTTAGAGCTCTAAGCCATCCAGCCTGAATTTGAAGGTCCCCAGGACTTTGGCAACCCATTCCAGTTCTCAGTACATGGAACTAAGAAATACCATGAGCAGTTGGTGGAGGGCTGGTTGTTCTGGATGTGTCTCTAGTGCTATAAGCACTTTGGTCCCCTCTTTGTTATAGACCCAGAAGAAAGCCTTAAGCCTTGAAAGAAAGCTGTTAGAGAGCTGGGCTGGACTGAGTTTTGTATGAATGCTTTCTGACAATTGTTGTCTCTTCTCAATCTCTATAATTGGCCAAGGACCAGCTGTAAGCTCAGTATCTCACAGGACTACAACAGAAGGAGATGACAGCTGGCCATGGTGGGCTGTAGTGACACAGTTTCCTGAGAAAACAGGCTACTCTCTTGATGACTTCTGCCTAAAGATGAAACTCCAGAGAGCGTATCTGTTGTGGAAAGAGAGGCTGTACGAGCACTGCAGAGCTGAGTGAGTGACAAAACCAGTTCCTGGAGCCCTCTTTGGTCGTGTCCACTGGACTCCCAGTCCCCCTGGAAAAACCTCTTGTTCTATCTATTATCCATCTAATCTATACTATTGTCCCCTTCGGGTATCTCTCTTCAGTCACTTTGGCATCTCAATATCTTCTGTCTCAGTTCTTTCTCTCAGGCTTTGGAGGAGCGTAGACTCAGAAAAGCTCTGAAATTATGGCACCAGAAGTATCTCATGCTGAAGGCAAACAAAGAAAGTCCTCAGCACTCTCACAGGGCTGCCTATGAAGAACCTCTTGCTGTGCTGTTTTGTGAGGAACGCTCAACATCTTCTGGCTTCCACAGCAGTGCTCCAACTACTCTTGCCTCTCAAAGCTCACTGGAAAAGGTGAGGGAGTTTTCTCTATTAAACTGCACTGAAATTGGGATTTTTCAGGAAATAAATTCTGCTTCAACGTGGTATTATCATTAAGAAACTGCTCATTATTTAGGCCTGAAGAGCTCTCAGGCGGTTGGGTCCTGGCATATGTGTCATCAGAAGTTGTAAACTCACTTCTCTTTCAGCCCTCCTCATGTAATGATACTGGGAACTGCTGAGTTAGTGTGGTTTTCTTGTGTACTTTGTTCCTGCTTGTGGCTGCAAGGTGGAAGGGATGAAATACAAACAAGCTCTTCACTGAGAAAAGGTCAAACAGGCATGTTTGCTGCCTCTGTGATGGTTTGCTTTCCCATCAAGGATGTGTTTGTGCTCTGGAGCTGCCCCTTGCTAGCCTGCATTTCCTTTGGATGCATTCTGGATTTTCCTGATTCTTGGCTGAAAGGAGGTGTAAATGACGTGGTCAGAACTGTTAGCAGAGTAATTCTGCTGATAGAACACTTGTCTCATGGTGTCTTTTTCTCTCCTTACGTGCAGGAATACAGTTTCAGTGACAGCAGCCAGCAGAGCTGCTCCTCCGTTCTGACTGCTGAGGATGTGACATATCTGCCTTATTACAATTCTTTCCTGCAACTACACCAATGTGCAGAGCTGCCAGCTGAGCTGGGTGGAGAGCTGTGCTTGCAGGCTTCCTTTCCTCCATGGAGGAGTAGATCTGGGTAAGTTGGATTCTTGTTCCTTGGGATGCAGGTTGTTTGGTCTGGCCAAATTCATTCTTTCAGGATAGTCACCCACATCATCTCACAACAGCCTTACAGATACTTTCTTCTTTCTCTTGCTTTCCTGACTGACATATTTTTCTTACAGAGAAAATTGGTTTGTGGAAGGTCAGTTCCAGTCTTTGGCACTGCAGAGTGCAGACAGTAATGTCCAGCCTCTTGTCAGTTACTCTACATGGGAAGAGGTGAGACTGAAAAATGATGCAATGCATGTAAGTGTATAACTGCTTTTTGCATGGCCCAAATAAGGAAAGAGCCTTTGGCTTTCAGTGTCAGGATACGGAAGATCTCACTGTTCTTCTCTTCTTGTGGTCAGGCAGAAGGCCTGGGCAGGGGGGGGAGGGGTGTTGAGCTACATCTTAGGGCAGCTCTTCCTGTTCACTTTCTAGTTGGAAGTTGTCCATCTGCCTGGGATTTAAAAATCATGTCAGACCTTTGTATATAGATGTGTGTGGGGGGGAGGGGTGAGGGGGGTGTTAGCAACAGGGACTTAGATGTCACTTCCATAGAAGTCACAGCAGCAAAAACAGGCTGAGCTGCAGGGAGTGATTGTGTCCAAGTAGCAGTTCAGGACTTCTTTGTTTTTTTTCTGGATTACAGGACTGCAGCTCTGAGAAGGAGGCAGAGAGTTCCTGGCACCATGTGGAGAAATGCTGCCTGGAGAAGTACTTCATCATCTGGTCCACTCGAACTCAGCAACTCACAAAGGCCCAGCAGTACTGCAGGCTTCTTCAGCTGTCTCGGTAGATGCTGTGCTTCTCAGAAGTTTGCTAAAGCTGTCTGTTTCAGGAGCTCCACACTGGCTTTTCTAGAAACTTCCTCTTTTTCCTTTTTCAGTGGAAGTTTTGCAGCCCATTATTTTATTTTCCTGCTTCAAAATTATGATATCTAAACGCTGTTCTCTTGGTTTGATGAGCTGCCTCAGAAGTTAGAGTGAGCCCAGTGCTGCTGGTATCAAGCCTTGGTAGCTTCCTACTACTGAACTGGCCTTGCTCTTTGCTTATTCAGAAATTGCAGAGAACAGAAGACTTGGCACAGCCAGGACAGAACACCTTACTCCTTTACACCTTGCCCTGCCTTTGGTTTACCCTGACATTTACTTAAGGAAGGATGTGAACAGATCCAATCCATTTCCTAAACTATCTAACATATATTTATTGTTAAGGTTTTGATCACAAATGTATGAATCTGTTTGAGTTATTCCTACAGTTGCTCCAATGGTCTTTGCCTTTCTCAGAGCCTTTCTCAGGTGGCACCGCTGCGCTGCGGAGAACAAGAACCAAGAAGTAGCAGCAGCCCTTAAATACCAATTTAATTGCTGCCGGATGGCTTTCAGCTTGTGGAAGAAGAGACTGGCCCAGAAAGTGGAAGCTGACCAGAGATTCAGGTGTCACCTCCACCAGATGACTGCTGATGCTCTTCGGCGTTGGCATTCCTACTGTCAAAGTAAGTTACTCCATCCTACAGCAGCATTTGCTCTGTATAAGAACACTGTAGGAATGGTTGGGCTGGAGAAACTCCTGCTTCTGGTTGTAGGTGTGTGAAGACTAGTCTAGGGGCTAGTGAGAGCCTTATTGCCCTGTTTTGCAGTGCATAACTGATGCTAGGGAGATGCAGTTGGAGGCTGATTGGGGAAGGGGTGAACTGAGTAGTTTTTTCAGCTGCTCGAGAGATGATGGGCCAGACTAAGATTTCCTAGACTGCAATTTGCAGCAGGTGTATTCTCTGCTCTCGTGTGGACTCTGTAATGGGTGTGGGGGGAGAAGTAGAACTTATCTCAGCAAGCTCCCATCTTTTCTCATAGGGAAGTGTAACATGAAGGAGCTGCAGCAGAGATGGGCTCAGCATAGCTGCCAGGAGAAGAAGAGATTGATCCTGCAGAAGTGGCGCTGCCAAACAAGGCAGCTGAAAAATGCTGCTTTATTCTGGGAGCGTCTCCTCCTGCACAGGTTTGTTTCCTTTCTTTGAAGCATTTCCAAGGGAAGCTTTGAGTGAAGAGCAATTTATGTAGCAGCAGATCCAGTGTGTTCAGACCTGTTTGATCAGTGAGATGATTTATGCCAGGATTCATTTAAGGCATGGGAAGTGAGGGTTTGTTCCTAGCAGATTTACTTACGAACTGCAGGCTCAGCCTGAGAAGGAGAGAAGGTCAGCAGAGGAAGAAGCAGCAACAAAAAAGAAACACAGTAAAACCTTAGCAGCTGTGATGCTTAGACTCTATGCTCACCCCACCCAGTTGCATTTTCTTCTGCACATCAATCTGCGTGGTGGCACCCTAGTGGGAATTGTGTTTCAGAGAAGTCCTTCATGTTGCTCCTTCCCGTAGAGTGCCTCCACCATTAATCTTCCTTCTGAGCTCTTTTTTGATGGGAGATCGCCTCTAATTTCTCACCTTAATGTCAATAAATAAATCAGCTTGCCAGTCAGCGTGGCTGTGGTACAGGCTGAGCCCTGTTTCTTCTGAGGGGGGCATTTTTCATGCTAGGATAACCTGCAATAGATTCTCTTGATCTTCAGAGAAGCCTGCCAGGCAGAGGATATTTACACCTCCATCCCATGGTGCAGTAGGGCAGTTTGCATAATGAAAACCCAAGTGGAATGAGGAACCAACAGGATGAGCCAGGAGTTAAAAGCAGATTTGCTTCTGGGTTTGCACAGGGAGACGGACTGCCCCCCGTGCATCAGAGTAGATAGAGGAAGAGTTATTGTAGGTGCAGATTTGCAGTGCTGTTAATTGTAACTCCTTCTGTACACGTTGTAGGATTTGTTTATTTGTTGAATAAAATCTTGAATAAAATTTGAATAATTCTTTTCCAGCTATATATCCTGTGTACAGCAGGCCCTTAGCATTTCAGCCAAGAAAAAGAGGAAAATCTGCATCTTCACAATGAGATGCTGTTTTGAATCCAGCTTGGTTCTGCAGCAGGCAGACTTAACTGTGTCTGCTGGGATTGTGCTGAAGAAAATTTCAGCAGTGTCATTACTCTTATCCCACAAGTAAACAGCCTTTCTCTATAAAACATCATCCTAAAGATCAGCTTCTGGCACAGGGAAAGATCAGACTGACTAATTTAATTCTTTTTTTTTCTTGTCAGCAGAGGGAAAATGTAATATACCATTGTATTCTGTTTGTAGGGGTATTTAAAGAGCAGCAACACTGGAATGGCCAGAAGGGAGCAGTCATACTCCTTTGACCACTTATACGTAACACTGCACAGTGGGTTGAGAAGGTAGAATTTGGTCCATTGTCTGTTTGGTGCTGATAAAGTGCACTTTTCTGTGCTTGTACTGTTTTTCAGGTGTGTAGTCATCTGGGCCCGGGTCACTGCCTGCTCACTGAGGCAGCAAGAAGCCCTCTGTTATTTTAGAAGGGTCAGAGAGAACCATCTTCTGGAAGTGAGTTTTGCAGAATGGAGAGTGAAGTTCTTGACAGCTAAACAGCAGTTGGTGGAAGAAGAGAAAAACCACACATGGCATGGATGTTCTCAAGCTAAAGCCTGTCAGCGCTGGCGATTGGCCTCAAGGGGACAGCAAGCCCTACACTTGGGGTCTGTGGCCACTGTGAAACAGGTAAGAAGAAAGTCCTTATGAGATGATTTAGAACTCCCAGTTGGCTTGTGGGTCACCAAACACTGAGCTGCATTGACAGGGCTTGTAGGAAAACCTGGTTTGGCTTGTCCTAACTGTGGTGACTGCTTAGGTTCTGCCTTGAAATTCTTTACAGACTGTGCAAACAACTTCATCACCATAATCTGGCACAGATTACTGCAACCATCTGGAGCACAGTATTAAGGAGTGGGGATATTTTTGACCAGAGAGAACAAGAACACTCCTTCCTCTCTGCTCAAAGGTGGGATGGGATAATCACTGTCCCCACAGAGCAGACAGAGCTGTCAGAGGTGCATACTATTTCAAAAGGCTCACAGCTAATAAACCACAAAGAGCTGGATTGATTTTTGAAAGACTGAGTCAGTCCTGCTGGGATCTCATCTGTGCAGTTTCCAGCCTGGGGTGTAGCACATTAAGCTACCTGCAGGGATATGAACATAAGTGTATCTGTAAGGTTACTTTCTGTGCTGAATGTGTGCATGTGTTTAGACTTGGCTGCAGCTGTGTTAATTCTGTTTGCAGGCCTGCAACTATTGGACAAAAGCAGCTGCCTTTTCCCAGTGCTCACGGCAATGCAGTACCCTGATAGGCGCTAGGAAGAGCAAGAAGATGTCTTTGTCTTTGTCCATGAGTAAGATACCCTGTTCTCTCTTCCTTTTGGGGGGCCATATGGGGTGTGCAAGTGGGGAGGGGGAGAGGTGTTTGCCAACCTAACGACTGGGGTTCCTCTGCAAAGTAGATGCTCACTGAACTCAAATTTTGACTGTGGACTGCTTCTGTTTTTAGTGTCCAAAGGACTGAGAACCTGTGGCAACTCTAATCTCTTTTTCCTGTTAGCTCCTGTGTGATTCCTCTTTTCTTTCCTAGAAAGGAGAGGATGCAGAGAGAAAGGTTCAGCTCCAGCTGCTTCCCTTGGGTTTTTTCCCAGTGCTTTTCACCGCTGGCTGGTGATCTACAGAAGCCAAAGGAGGACCGAAAGGCTGCTGCTCCCTCAACAGCTAGAGGGGCATGATTTGGTAGGACCTGTCCCTGGGCACGCCAGGATCCAGGAGGACAAAGCAGAGGTGGACTCTGATGAGTGGAATGACAATTGGCTTGGGTAGGCAGAGTTGGAGGGCTCTGAGCTTCATCATTGTTTTGCCATCACGGAAAGACTCCCTGACAAAAGCTTGTTTTCTTTATTTTCTTGCCTACAGGAGGAAGTACCTGAGGTGGTGGCATCACACGGTGACGCTGCGCCGGTGCCAGCGTGCCAGGAGGCTGCACAGTCTGGCAAGGGGTTGGCAGCAGTGGAAAGAAGCCAGCAGGGTGGTGATGCTGGCACAGATGTTGGTGAGTGCTACTGCCACGTGGGTGTCAATGATGGGTGTTAGTGGATAAGCCCACTCTGCTTGCAGTCTCAACTACATCCTAGAAGATGAGACCTGGGGGGTTTAACGTGCACAAATGTGCACATAAAATCCCAGTTTGCTGCTGTGGCTACTTTTTCCATCTTTCTCTTTGAAATGCCAGCTGTGATTTGTCTCCTCTCTGCTCAGGACAAGATGAAATGGTTTCAAACAAAAAGATTGGGAGATTTAGAATGGATATAAGAAGTAGTTTTTTATCATAAGGGTGGTGAGGCACCGGCACTGGTTGCCCAGAGAGCTGACGGTGCCCCAAGGTCAGGCTGGAGGTGCTCTGTGCACTGATGGAGCTGTGGTTGTCCCTGCTTATTGCAGAGGAGTTGGATGAGGTGGCTTATAAGAGTCCCCTCCAACTCAAACTATTCTATGATCTAATCTGTGCACTGCCTTTCTTCCTGGCAGGACCAGCAGCGGCTGATAGAAAAGGCCTGGAGAGCGTGGAGACGTCGGTATTTACAAAGCTGTGTAGTGCAGAGGTTTTTGGAGGTTGAAGCCAGGAGCCTATTGTCTGAGGTAAGCACTGAAGGCTGCTTTTATTCTTTGAACCCCAAACCTCTGGTACAGCCATAAAGGTTAAAAGGTTTAGATCTAAGCTCAAGATGCCAAGACTCCAGGGTGGGTTATCCCTTATTGCCACCTGGAAGGTGAAACAGAACATGGAGCTGTCTGGGCCCACGTGCTTCCTTGTTCCTGTGAAGTGTCACGTCAGAAAGATAATAAGCAGATGGTTAGAGGGATGTAAAACGAGTTCCAGACACCTATGTCATTTTGTGGGAAACAGCTTCTTCATACTGTGAGGGTAAGTGGGTGTGTGCCTGTACCAAGGAATTGAAAGGTGGAAGGTGCCAGGCTCCCTGGTGGATCCGCAAACACCACAAAGGGACAACTGATGTTCCCTGTATTTCCCTCCCTGGACAAAGCACTGTTGAAAGGAGAAGTTGAATACATCAAGAAGGAGAAGTTGAATGCATCAAGAAATGGGACTTGCCCAAAACAAGGGGAAATAGCTTTCAGCTTTATTTGGCTTTATCTTTGGAGTAGCAGACCTCTGATAAGGCTTCGACGGGGCACATAACAGGATGTTAACCCATGAATCCTCTGCCTCTTGAGAGCCCACTTAGGGGACAGGCTCTATACTGTTGCTGGAGGACTGTGGTGACTTGCACCCAGGCTCAGCCAAATTGTTATAAATTTGAATGCACAAGCAAAGCCCAGTATTTCAAATAGTTGCTTCCCTCCTCTGCCTCCTAAAGGTCCATGCAGGATTAAGTTCTCCTTTAACACGATGAGTGCAAGTAGTGAAACGAGGGCAGAGGTTGTCACATTGGTTTGTACTCTTCACTTCCCTTGTTGGCTACAGTAACACAGGGGGGATGGAGAAGACACTTAAGTGAACAGAGAGGCATCTGGCTTGGCCATTGCTAAGGAAGAGCTGGGTTCACTGCTGCTGTGAGGGTGGCTGCAGTTCCTGCAGGATAACCTGAGTTTCTGATTTGTCCCCTCTACTTCAGGCATTTGGAAGATGGCGTCAGCTCACAGCGTTCCAACTCAAGCACAGAGGACACTGCTGAATGGTGGGCAGCTGCCTGCAGCTGCTTATTTTGGGAGTGGAGGATACGGCTGGCAGTCACAACAAAGAGCTGGTCTCTTGCAATCAAGAAAGCAGTGCATGATCTACCTGTGTGATTCAAAACAGTGCTGCAGGCCCAAAGCGTGGTGATAGCCAAAGGACAACCAGGAAGAAGGGGGATCCAGAGAAAGGTCTTATTTAAAGGACTGATATTTTGCCTCCCTACTGCCACAAACTTGAGAACTTAATGGCTTTTGTTGTGAGGTTGCATTCCCTTTTCTGCTAGAGTCTGATTTTGTTGGAGTTCTGATTAAAAGCCCTATAAAGTATTTTTTGACCTCCCTTAACTAATTTTTTTTTTCTTTTTATTTTTTTGTAATTGAGAGCTTAGTGTCATGTAAGGGACTAAGCAAACTTGGTTTTGAAGAAGTGAGCAGGAACGTGTCTGTGGGAATGCTACATGCTGTTGATTCCAAAGTTTGGACTAACTCTGGTCACTGTGAACAGAGGCCTTATTTTTGAGCTTAGGCTCTTCCCTTGGGTGGTTGGGATGATTCCCACTTGGCCCCCACCCCCTGTCCAAGTCCATCAGCTCTTCATTAAGGCTTTCAGTGGGTGGCCAACCTCTTGACTGCTTCCTGCTGGTTTCTTTCTGCACTGAATGGGCTAGGGATGAAGAAACCTGCTGGGAACAGCTGAGCACCAAAAGCTTTGCTGGGGGAAGACAGGCGTGTCTGACCCCCAACCTTCCCATTACTTGCTCCTGTGATTGATGCCCTGTAATTACCCTGGATATATGAGCCCAGTCTCAGACAGCTGTAATGAGAGGGTTTGAAGAATCTGGAAAAGGCTTTTCTTCCTTGCTTGTTTGAAAGAGATGCTTGCAGCTTAGCAGGGATCTTGAAATCCCACTGGGAGCTGCCCCAAGGTCTTGTTTTTCCTAGCCTGGAGTAGCTTTGCAGGATTAAGGACAATGCAGCCTCAGCAGCCCCTTCTTTCTCTAGTGCAAGGCCTAAGTCTGCTAGAGTCATTAGGTCAAGAAAGATTAGGTTATTTTTTTCCTATAGATACTAGAGAAGGACTACCACTCTTATGGCCACGCAAAAATGAGGCAGGGGCCAGAGGTGGTTATTATTCCTTTGTCCATATTTCCTTTGGGGCATGTGTTAGAAATGGAGGCAGCACTGCCTCACAATCAGTTGTTTTCTTAAACCTTTCCCTTGGGTCAACTTGATTAGTTTGAAACATTATTCTTTGTGCTGCTTACAATAATCTAGTCTAGTACAAGAGCCAGTCATATACATGTAGTTTATTATACCTCTACATAGAGTGATTCCTGTTTGATCACATCCAGAAGTGGAATTCATATTCCCATTAAAAAAAGCCTAAAAATTAGGAAGTACAGCTAAGAGGAAAAGTTAGGAAAAATTAAACCTTCTTCTGGAGTGAGCACAAAAAGAGTCTGATATTACCTATGATGCAATACATCTTTGGAGTGCAATGTAAAAGCAGCTTGAGCTTTTTATGGTTGGTAGCTGCTACATCAACTTCCTTGCATAGATGTTGCTGACAGGAGTGTTTCTGCCCCCAAAAGCAGCATACCTTGCAGAAGAAAGTTGCCAGACTTCCACTGAGATGTACCACATTGGTGTGCAAGGTTTCTCCTACAAGCTGTGATCAATGTAACCATTGTAAGCACCCCTCCATCCTGCAGAGCCGGCGTTCAAGCTCAGCAGAGAACCTCAGCTCAGAAGTACAGGTGGTTCTTCTGGCTACTGCTCAGTGGAAAGGGATAAGGAACATTTTTGTTGGGGATAGAAGAGCTTGTAATGGGGATTGATCAGAGCAGCAACGCTCACTGGGCTTAGGAGCCTCTGGTCCAGCATTCTGAAAGGAGCTGCTTTTTCTCTCCTTGCAGGAAGAACTAAGGGAGTAGAAGACGAGTTTTTCACTGCTGAGGTGGAGAGTTCAACAGCTCAAAAGTATCATCCACAACCTGCCAGAGGCAGTTCTCAAGTGGGAAGTCATTGTCCACCAGGTTGACCAAATAATAATTGTCATGGATGTATTGGATGATCATGCGAGAGGGTGATTCCTCTTCATAGAGCTTGGCCCACTGCTCAATCCACAGAGCAAAGGCCTCATCCTGCCAAGGAGAGAGAGATGTTTGTAGGGTTTTAATGCACATTTTGTACTACCTCAGTTGGGACAATCAGCATCACATATGCCTGGCATGCCTGTGGCTCGTTTCTTCACAGTAAATGCTGCAAGAGCTGAGCAAGGAAGCTCCTGCTTTCCAGGCAGTGCAAGGTTGCACAAACAACAGCTCAGAGCTGAAACGAGACATGCTTATAGTAAAATGGCTCAATACTGCCCCTGTGCGGGTAGTGGGAGGGAAAGCTATTGCTCAGAACTCTGGGGACTCATATGGAGATGATGGCTCCCCAGCCTCCCGGGTGTTTACTTAGTGTCTCTGAAAAGCTCTCACTGGAGAGAAGCTGTAAAAACACTGAGGGAGCAGATTGCAGCAAGCTAATATTACAACAGTAATCAATTGCAAGTGGTGTTACAGATTCAAAACAAACCAGACACTGAATTTCCAGGGTATCACAACTGTGTCCAGCAGCAGGAAGGACTCACCTTCCAGGAAAGAAAGCTTACAGGATCTACCACGGTGGGCTGGATTATCTCCCTGCCTGGAAAGATGCCCCAGGTAACAGCATTGGGTTGCAGGTCAGGGGCGTTGGTGATATTCTGGCCCTACAAAGAAAAGAAAACCTTTCTGAAGCTGCTGGAGGAGAGTCAGAGCAATTTTCCTGTCCTTGTTAAGAGATCAGACAGCAGCTGCAGGTCACAGCTGACTTGTTTCACTTTTCCTTCATGTCCCACTTTGTTCCTGGGGATGTTTGAATCTCTGACCTTTGCCTCTCTCCCAAGGTGGTGAAAGCATCCTGTGAATGTCAGCCTACCTTGACGTTGACAATGTGGTAGTTCACCCGCAACTCGTACTTCTTCAGCACCTTCAGCAGCGCCGTGACGATCTCGTTGGAGGTGAAGAACTCTAGGTATGCCTGCCAGGTGGGAAAAGAGAAAGAATAAGAGCCCTAACTCATTGGCAGGGCTGACACGTACACACAGGCAACCAAAAGAACAGTTGTAAGCTGTGCTTTTTAGCAACCAGGCAGCCTAAGACTTCTACATCCATCCCCAGAAATATGTATTACAAAGGGGACTGGAGCAAAGGGCAAAGCAAACTGGGAAGAGAGCTGAAAAAAAGAATTTGTGGAGAGCAGAGGTAACAGCCTGAGAACAGCCAGTTTAGGAAAGCTGCGAGCTATTTGACCTGTACCCATGTGAGCAGACAGGCCATAATATGCTCCAGCCACTGTAACCACAATTGCTGGGCCTGGAAAGCAGCCAGTACTGGCCAGAGTTCCTGGAAGGAGCCCGAGTTTGACTTCTATGTGGTACCCCACGACCAGCAGTAAGCTGCCAAGGCAGCCCAGTCTAGCAGGAGATGAAGCCAGAGGTCTCAGCTGGGCTCTGAAACACCCTGCCTTTTGTCCAGTCTCATCTTTTGTCCTCAGTCCTCCCAGTGAGCTCACACAATCTAATTCTGCACTTCCTCCATCTACTGCTGCTCTGTGCTTGGCTGCTCCAACAACTGCTTCCCCTCCCCCCATTTCCTGGCTATTGTGTGATGATGGATTTCCCCTCACCTCAGGGAATTTGTTTTTTTTTTCTTTGAAAACATAACAGCATTTGCCATCTGCTCATTTCAGGGCTTTAGCAATTCGGATCCCTTTTGATCACAGCTGCTTTGTTTCCTAGCACAAGCCACTTGCCTGGCATTTACCTTGACACAGGAGATTCCTATCACAGCCATTAATGGTAAGGATGTAGGGCCTGAAAATGCATGACAGTAGGAGGCAGGCATGAGAGATAAGACTGCTTGCAGACCAGAAGTAACCACAGCAGAAGTGCTGCAGTGGAGGCAACTGGTGAAGAACTCTGCCTTAGAGAAAGATGGATGGGAGAATTTTTAAATACCCAGTTATTAGCATGAAAAGCTGGATGGTAGAGATACTGCTTCATTGATTGCTATTATGAGAAACCCGGGTGCTTCCTGCATTGGGAATGGGATCAGCTGCAGTAGGCAGGCATGTTTTATTGTTGGTTTTGTTATTTTTAATCTGAAACTTGATAGCTCTGCTCTTGCAAGTGGTTAGCATCAATTGCTTGCTATGAGTAAAAACAAGAAATTGTTTTGAAGTGGGAGAAAACAGCTAGGTAAGCTACAGAGTTGACATGATCTGTCTCTTAAGTCACCAGAGGAGCTTTGTCTTATCCCAGCAAGAAAGCATTAGAATAAGGAGCTGGCAGAGGTAGTATCTGGTTGGAAGCCTAAGACCTTCCTACCTCACAGAGACTGTGCTAGTCACAACTTACTGCTACCCAGCAAAAGAGTGCAATACCTTTTGGAAGACATAACCTCCACTAGGTCCCCAGCCAAAAATGGGGTCTGTGGATGGTTTGCCATTGATGTTTGGCTGGGAGTTAATAGTCAGGATTCCTCGTCTGTTGACCTTCTCCAGCTGCTCCTTCAGAAGGCTGGTTTCAGTAGCAAGAGGGTCATCATTCCAGGGCATACACGTAACCTACCATGAGGAGAGAGGATGGCTTACAATGTGGGTGTGTACAACAATCCTTTGGTTACCAACTGATGCTGAAGGAACTCAGGAATGCCCTAGTGATCTTGAACATATCTCTCACAGGGCAGAATTCTCAGGTTTTGTTCAGGGGTTGAGCAGGTAGGCTCAACTCCAGGAACGAGCTCAGCATGATGCTACAGCAGCTTCCTTTTTATGCTGAGCCCTAGCTCTGGCTCTTGGACTCTCCTTGGAATCCTTCAGCCACTATCTCAGCAGCTTTAGGTAGGAAACTGCCATTGTTCTCATTTAGAACAATGTGACAAGAACAAGAGAAATTAGGTACTGTTGTCTGTGCCACACTGACCAGCCCTTCCAGGGCCACCTCTCACCCTGTGTCCATTCTTGTTGGGCTCTCCGGTGATGTAACATGTGAAAACCTCAAAGACGCTTTCCTCACCGGTCAGTTCTTCTCCCCACATCTTCAGGAGCTCCTCACGGGGAGACTTGCTCTTCAGGTAGAAGAGGTAATAGTCCTTCAGCTCCCCAAAGGCTGGAGAAGAGGAGTTACCCCTGTAAGCAGAACAGACACAGGATTAACAAAGCACTGATGAAGATGTACCAGTTTGATGATGCAAGAAAACAGCCAGCCAGGAAAAGTATCCATCACAGTCCTCCTAAAGACCAGGAGCTTCAATATCTTGGTGCCATTCTCTTCACTTCATTCAAATCCACACAACTGGGGACCTCTTCAACAATAAACCATCATTTCTGCCAGGCCCAAGGCACGCACAGAGATCTAACTGCAGAGATCAACTGTGCAGCAGGTCATTGTATCACACCTTGCCATTGCAAGCTAACAGCTTACCATCGACCGTTGGGGAAATCATCCCATTCTTGAGTTCGATAGATGTAGCTTTTTGGCCTAGAGGCCCAAAAGATTGGCCGAACATCTTCAACTCTTCTCTTGGGGTGAGCACTGACTGCCCAAGGCAGAGGTCGCCTGCACAGAGAAAGCAGAAGTCAACACATTTCTCTCTTCTCATTGCTGTCTTTCCACAAGAGGTTGGAAGCCTTCCTCCTATAGAGTTGGCCTCTGGAGAGAACAAGTTGCAAAAACTGAGAAGAAATCTATTTGTAGGACAAAAATCAAATAAACCTCTTCCTCCTTTATGCAAAAGGTTTTCCTTCACAGATGCTTGGTAGGTGTCTGTTAAGTGCAGGACTGACATCTGAGATTGGATGGAGTAAGGGAAGAGCACTGTGTGAAGGAAGAGTTATCCCTCTGCCTGTGCTTCCACTTGCCTATTTTTGAAGGATGTGGACTCAGATTCCATTCCCTGTATTGGGAATGTATTGAGAGACTTAAAAAATGTTTATTCCACGTGGCATCTCTAAGAGTTTAGGTTTTAAAGTTCCACAGAACTTCAGTTCTTCTCTCTTCTACCCTTTCTCCCAGCTTTTAATCAGAGACCTGCAGGAAGGATGAATGTCTAAATGCAGGAAGGTACTTAAAAAACAGAAGAGAAGAACCAACCCATCC